GGGTATTTTTTTACATCTTGTTTTGCTCTCCCAGTCTTAGTGAACTTAAAATGAATTACTAATGTTATATTGTAGTTCTGTTAACATGAATGAAGGACTTTTTTTATATTATTACAGTAACTGCTACGGAAAATAACTTATGTTTTGTATGATTAATATTGTTCTTGCCTTCAGTGCCAGTCCCAGGAGGTACTGACCTTGCCACAGGACTTCACAAAGGGATTGCTTTTATTGCCAGTTGAATGCAAGTTCTTAAAGTCAGTACTGTCTGTTCGAATAAAGTACAATTTAAAAAGTTGTATTAAAAATAATAATATTAACCTCATAATCCAAATCTTATTCCTGCATTATTTCATGGGTTTTTGAATTTGTTAGAGAACTTTGTTTGTTCTATAGCTGTGCTGTTCACTAAAGAAACAGTGAAAAAAAAAAAAGCCTTTATCAGGGGATGGATTGAAGGATGTTGTGCCTGTATCAGGGGATGGATTGAAGGATGTTGTGATGTGGTACAGCTATCTTGCAGGAACACAAATTCCTTGATATAATCAGAGCATATACAGAATAAAATGGGAAGCTCAAACTTCTTCAGCTTTTCTGCTCAGATCAACTTCTGTTTGCATCTAAGTGACATTCTCCTTGCAACTGTTCAACTCCTGATGGAGTCATTGTTTTTTTCTAAAAAGTCAAACAGTATGATGGATTGTGTTATGCCCAAAATTCAAGAAACAATTGCAATCAAAGCCATTAACAAAAATGTAAATTATCTATCTGTAAAAACAGTCCTGAGACAAAGCACCCTCTTATTATGCAAAGCAGAGGAATTGCCTTGGACCTGAATACCAAAGACATGGAAACAGCTGACTTGTGGAGATGCTGTAGTCTTAACATTGCATTGGGTAGTTTTGATTGAAGTTTTGATGCATGAGTGAATTTGGGAGGCTCAGTTTGCTTTAAGTTCCCAAATAACAGTTAGTTTGATCAATAACTAAATGAGTTATGGTTATGAACAACTAAGATCACGCAGTGAAACTCTAAAAGAGCACATTTAAACTGGAGGTGTACGTTGATGAACCCACAAGATGATGAGCAGTGACTCAACTCCGACTTGAGGGATGAGCTTTGAACCTGTGAGATCGTATCTCCATCTAGTGGCTGATAACAGCAAATATTTGTCCAGTATCTGCTTTTGAAGAGAAAGGCACTGGAAAATAATCCCAACTGGTATATTAATGTCCATTAGGGATGCAGCTTTAGTTCATTACAGAATGCATTTTAGCATTTTTTTGTGCCCAAACTGTCCCTCTGTATTTCAGGAATTCAATTCTGAACCATGGTTTGTGAAAGTTACCTTCAGACTTCTGGTGAATGGATGAAAGTGGTATTTTTTATCAAAGGAAATGCACGTTGTTGTAAAAGACATTAACTGACAAGTTTTAAAAAGTTGAAATCCTTTATCCCTCTGTTTTTGGCCAGGATTCAGAAAGCAGAACCTGATGACTGTGAGGTGTTCAGTGAATGGTAGGAGAGGGCAGGATAAGTATCAAAATGCTGTTTTGACATAGACTTCAAAAGGAAGCTCATTCCACTTTTCATATACTCTTGAGGATCTCCTCTGAAAACACTGCAACTGTTTTAACTCTGAGACTTGCAAAGTTACAGTAATCTGCTCAAGACTTTACCAACACTGCAGCAAGGCATTAAGTTTTTACTGTAAAGGTTTTCTGTGTAAAGTCTGTAACTTGACTGATGAAATATAGTATTTTTTTCTAAACCAAATAAGGACTGAAGTCTCTGCTATATTTTAAGAGCATTTTGACA